CCGGCCCCCCCTGCTAGTTGCTTCCCTGCCACAGCTCTGGCTCCAGCTGGGGTCCCGCTCCAGCCAGGGTTGCTTCTGGTCCCAGGCTACCCATGCAGCAGCTGTTGTGGCAACAGCAGCTTCAGCCTCAGCTCCTAACTAGAGAAGGAATGCAAAACTACAAAAGCCCCGCTACTTTGTCAGTTAACACCTCTGGTTGCTTTCTAGGGATAATGTATTCATTCATGTTAAAGCTCATCTTTGCACAACTATCACAAACATCTAACATCCCAGAAACAAACATGCTCACCTTGCCTGGCTAGTTTTGCAAGACAATTTAGCTACTGAACTCAAATACTTCTAGATATGGAAGTTGTGTCTTTCTGTGCAATATTCTTTGAACAGTAAACTTTCCCCTGAATACTTGAAATTTTTGAAAGAGTTATATTGCAGAGACATTTAATTTGGTGCACAACTACATTATTGCTCTCCATCCTCCAAGTCTAACCACAATTCTACTTACAATTCTTTTAGATATTTTGGTCCATAGACAATTTTGAAGGCCAGTTCTTGTACTTTTTCTGCTGCCAAATTATTAGTTATTGCTTGCTGGAAAATCTCGTGAAGGACTGTGCCAACCAGCATTTGACGTGAACCAGACTCACAACTCTACAATATAAAAATCATACAGAGGTAAGTTTTAGTAAGATGTACATACAAAATAACTTTATGCCCTAATGTAATTAGGTGACAACCCTAATTATAAATTTGCTATCAGAGTGAATGATGACTGATAATTCATGGAATACACACACACACACACACACACACACACACTTCTACTTATACCATTAATATCCAATTTGATCAATACAAATGGCCAGTATCATACAAGGAAAAGGTTTATAAAAAAAAGTCCCAGGTGGCCTTTCAGCTTAACCGGATGACATAGAAGACTGCTTTAGACAGGAAAAAATAAGAGAGTTTTGTGTACTAGTTTACACCTTTTCCCAAAGGCCACCTGTCTGGACTGGGTAGAAAAAGGATATTGCAGTCTAGAAGTCTGTTTTAGACTTGTTTTGGCCACAAGATCTTTGGGGCAGATAGTTTGTTTCCACAGGGTTAAGCCTGCTAAGAAAGGTCTCAGTTCTCAAAACCTCTGCACACCAACCAATATTAAAAATGTATACAAGGAAAATAAACTATATAAAAATGTAGTGTTAGAGTCAAGCCTTGCCGTTTGTTTTCAAAACACCTTTATGAGATTAGGCATATTATCACCATTTGTCATATAGGAAAAATGGAAATACGAAGATCAAGATCAAAGGAATCCACTAGTTTTGGTGGCTAGCCTTAATTCTGTCATTTCCTAGTATGACCATGTGACTCTGATTATTCTTAGCACACTATTCTTTATGTCATTTTTTAATGTTTTGCTTTGTAGTTTAGTTTGCTTAAAAACAAACAAACAAAGGCAATATCATGGTAAGGTTGTCAATTTAACAATATCACCATCAGCAAGGTTAGACTCTTTAGATCCACTACACAGGCCTCTGCTGATGAGTGTAATGATGAACCAAAGTAGGAATAAGTTTTGGTCCTCTAGGATAAATACTTCAGATGGGACATTGAGCCACAGATAACTGCTCATATGATCCTAGGACTGGGTTAAAAAGGAAAGGCCAGCAAGAGTGGGTTGCATTCTCCACTTAGGAAAGAAGTGTTTAGGTCAGATCCTTCTACCATTTCCCCTCAAAATCCGACTTCTTACCTTTCCCAAGGCTCCTTGTCTCAGTCATATCTTCCTCATTTAGCCAGCTCATTTAGCTACTCCTGAAGTTTGTTATAACCTCTACCCCTCTGCCTCAGTAGCTCCCTCATTCCTCTCTCCAACCATCCAACTCTTAGTTTCAGCCTCACCCAGCTCACCACTACTTGTAAGACTGTCTTTTGGGTCTCTGGCAGTTGAAACAGGCCGCTTCTTCTACCAGACTAGGCAACAAGAGCTTTGAAACTGCAGTTTCCCTTTTCCAGTTCTAGAGGGAGCCCTCACTTGCAGGACCCCAGAGTAGACAAACGCATGGAAATTCCTGCTCGGGTCCGTGCTGAAGCATGCAACTTAGCAGAGAAGTTCTAGGAGTCTCTACTGAACGTGTGGATAGTAATTTTCAAAGGCTTATAAACTTTGTCATTTTTTTTTGGATTTTCACAGGGACAAGAAAAAGAACATCTATGTTACACACTCCATACCTCTACCAAATTTAAAATCATTGATCTTAAGCATCAGGTTGGCAGATTTATTTATATTTTTTTAGTATTGGCACTACCTATTCTCTGTCTCTCAACCTCCCTCCCTTATTTTCAAGAACAGATTATCCACTCTGGCTGACATTTTAGCAAAGACTTCAACCTGAGGCAAACACCCAGCAGTGTAACATTTTATGCCAAATGGTTAAAGTTTGGCAGAGTTATATATCTGAAAATAGGACCTTATAATGGAAAGTGTCAAGTCTTACTACTGGACAACAGCCATCTCACCCAAAAGTGAGAAATTTGGAATGCAACAAATTATTTTTCCGAAACATTTTCTATTCCATGATTTTAACACTTACCCTAAACTTCTCGCTCAGCACTGCTTTTCTCATACATCGAATGCTATTTGATACCGTGGTGCCAGAAATCAGCAAGTCTGGGTATAGAATTAAGTATCCAGACTCTCCATTTATTATCCAAGAACCAGAGTTGCACGCTCCTTCTAAATGAATGATGTCTCCTGAAAGTACTGGAACAGAATTCCTAAAAAGCAGTAACTATAATAACTATGTGTAAGACACAAAAACACTATGAAGAGCATATATTCCAAGATCAAAACAAACTCGCTGTCACAGGTGGCAAGAGAAAACAGAGGAAGCAACAGTCCCTCCCATCTTTTATGGTTAGATAAAAGGGCAAAGGACACATGCATACCTCCAATAGACAGTAGCAGCTAAAGAGGCTCTGGTCTTGTGGCCCTGGTGCATATGCACACTTAGGCTGAAAAATACATAAATAACTATTTTCCCACTTCTGTTTTCAGTGGAACTAAGTTAACATAGTTGAATTACCCAATTCATATAGATTCATAGATTGTAAGGCCGGAAGGGACCTCGGAAGATTGGATTGAGCCCCCTGCACCAAGCAGGAAAGATAACTGGGGGTCAGGTGACCCCATCACGGTGACTGTCTCTTCTCTTCTTGAAGATTTCCGGGTAGGTGATTGCACCACCTCTAGAGGGACCTTATTCCACAGTCTAAACACCATGACTGTGAAGTTTTTCCTAACATTGAGCCTGAATCGATCTTCCAGGAGTTCGTGGCCATTACTCCTGGTTTTCCCCTCGGATGCCCTGGTGAACAGTTGTGCACGGAGCCCCTGATGTACTCCCCTAGTGTAGCAGTAAGCTGCTATCAGGTCCCCTCTCAGCCTTCTTTTCCTCAGGCTGAGAAGTCCCAGATCCCTCAGCTTTTCCTTGTATGGCTTGCCATGTAAGACTCTGATCATATGGGTGGCACTTCTTTGGACTCTCTCAAGCTTGTCTGCATCCTCGTTAAAGCGTGGTGCCCAGAAATGGATGCAGTACTCCAGCTGCAGTCTCACCAGTGCTGAGTAGAGCAGAAGAATCACCTCCTTGATTTTTCTGAAGATGCATCGATTGATGCATACCAGAATATTATTTGCCCTACTGGGTACAGCATTGCACTGCTGGCTCATGTTCATACTGTGGTCTATTATTACCCCCAGATTCATGGTACTAGTTAGTTTGGTGCCGCCAAGCCTGTAGGTATGTTGGGAGTTGCTCATACCAAGGTGGAGCACTTTACATTTCTTGACATTGGACTTCATCAGATTCCAATCCACCCAACTTGCTAGCCTATCTAGGTCCGCCTGTATCTGTAGTCTGTCTTCAAGAATGACCACTCTCCCCTATAACTTGATGTCATCCATGAACTTGGCCAGTGAGCTGTTCACCCCCACATCCAAATCATTAAAAAAGTTGAAAGGACTGGACCGAGCACCAACCCCTCGGAACCCCACTGCCCACTTCTCGCCAGGATGACACAGATCCATTCACTATGACTCTCTGGGTTCTATCCTGCAGCCAGTTTCTCACCCACCTGACTGTCTCAGAGTTAAGCCCGCAATCCTCCAATTTTCTCGTGAGGACATTGTGGGATACTAGATCAAAGGCCTTTTAGAAGTCAAGGTATACAACAAGGGTCAGCAACCTCCCATGCCAAGCATGGCACACGATGCCATTTTGCTTGACACACCATGGCCAGCCCCAGCTCTGGGTAGCTGCTGCCAGCAACGGAGCCCGGGCTGCTCCCAGCAGGGCTTGCAGTGTCCCAGCTGCCTGCTGGAAGCAGCCCGGGCTCCTGCCTGGCAGCAGCTGCTCAGAGCTGGGGCCAGCAGGCTCCAAACAGCTGTGCCAGCTTAAGCACCTCAGAGCAGATGGGGGAGGGGGCCTGAGGCAGCGCAACCCCTGTCTCTTCCCCCAGCTCCTGGCACAGAGCTGGTGACTGGGCTCTGGAGCCCAGCACAGCTGTTTGTAGCCGGCCTGGGCTTTGGGCAGCTGCAGCAAGCAGGCTGCAAACAGCTGCACTGGGCTCCAGAGCCCAGTCGCCAATTCTGTGCTGGGAGCGGGGGAAGAGACGAGTTGCACTGCTTCAGGTCCCTCCCCCACCACCTGCTCCAACGTGCGGGTGCACACGCCGGTATGGAATTGATGCCTGGGGCTCCGGAGCCCAGCGTAGCTGCTTGGAGCCTCCCAGCTGCAGCCAGCCCAAGCTCTGGGCGGCTGCTGCCAGCAGGCAGCTGGAAGACTGCAAGTCCTGCTGGGATCACCCTGGGCTCCAGCAGCTACCTAGAGCCGGGGTAGCTGCTGATAGCCACAGAGCCCAGGCTGGGGGGCTGGGAGCACAAGCAGGGCTGGGGGGTAGGGGGCATAAGCAGGGCATCCTGCCATGTACCTCCTGCCCTCATTTTGTTTCTCTGGCATGCCGGCACTCCGGCATCTTCCAAGGTAGGTATTGTGGTGTTTTTCAATGCTCCGGCCAAAAATCGTATACCGGGGTAGGCAACAATGTCAACCTATAATACCCATTTCTTTGTATATTTATCAATTAAACTAGACGCCTAAAGAGTAAGCCATATGAAGAAAGGCTGACAGATATGGAACTGTTAAACCTAGAAAAGAGAAGACTCCAGAAGGATTTGATGGAAGCTTATAAATATCTCATGGGAGAGCATCAGGGGCTAAGTGAACAACTATTCACCAAAGCACCCCAGGGGAAAACCAGGAGCAACGATCGTAAACTCCTAGAAGGTTTCAGACTGAATATGAGGAAAAACTTCTTCACGGTTCATGTGACCAGACTGGAACAGACTCCCAGCAGGGGTGGTGCAGGCACCTACCCTGGAGATCTTCCAAATGAGACGGGATGCACACCTTGCTAGGGTTATTTTGACCCCAGCAGTCTTTCTAGCCCAGAGCAGGGGGGGCTTCACCCGATGATCTCACGAGGTCCCTTCCAGCCCTAAACTTCTATAAATCTGTGTTCCCAAAATAATGCTAACTGCTCAAGTCAGCACAGTGAACACAGAGCCACATAATTCAAGTTTCACTATTTTAACTATTTATTCATATTATTTTACCACGACTAAACTATGTGAAAAATGTAAGGTAACAATACAGTTTATTCTAGATACTAACTGCCCTCAGTTAGATATTAACAAACAAGACCAGCATGGCAGTAATACCTTATTAGATTAATTGCGTTCAGTTTGCACTTTTAAGATAATGAAAATGAGCATACAAAGAATTTACTTAATAAACCAAAATATTCTCATTACAAAAAATGTTTATATCTACATATCAATTACCAGTCATTCCTCAGAATACATAGTTCTGTATCCTCAGGTGATTGAGATGCTGCAATTGTCAAATGCATTTCAGGATCTTCTCCCTTTTTCTGTACTACATTCACTCTTAACACACGGTATCTGTTGTTCAAACCTTTAACGAATATTGTATCAGTGAAGTCAACTGTTTTCTTCTGAAAACTGAAATGAAAATGATGTTAATAGAACCACTGTTTAGAAAGGCCATAGTCATTGTTTAGATAAGACTAAGGTAGCCTTCCAATGCCATTCCTCCTGTAACTCCCTCCCTGGCAAAAAAAAAAAAAAAAAAAAAAAGCCTTGTTCAGTTACACGTGCCAAAATTCACCCCAGGGTAGGTCTCTTTCAGAAAATGTGGTTTTTCGGGGTTTTTTTTAAGGCAATGTGGCTCACACATCTACAGTGGCTTAGCTCGGGGGAAAAAAAAGGCTTTAAACTCGCGCGCTCCCACGGCGAGCCCAGCGCATGCTCAGAAGAGACAGCGTGTTAGTCGGACCCGACTCACCCAAGTTCTGAACAGATCGGGTGCGTTAGTGGGGGCTTCTAGGGACTGAATCAGCTATTACAAGTGCCAGGAAAGCCCCGCCGAAGACCAGCTCTATACAGACAGCAGAGCCGGGTCGTACTAAGACGCCGCTTCCCGCTCCCGATTCCAACCGCCCCCGCCCCCCGGCGGCACCTCTCCGGCGGCGCCGGCTCTTCGCGGGCACCACTCCCCGGCCGCTCGTCCGGCGGCGGCTCCATGGCGCTGGCGGAAGCTGAGAAACCCAGTCGCGCCGGGAGCAGCGGCAGTATCGCAAGATCTAGCTTGCTGCAGCCAGGACCATTCCCGCTGATAGAGGCGCAGGCGCACTAGGCTGGGCTGGTGCGCCTCGAGGGAAGGCCCCGCCCCCGAGGGTGCTCAGCCAATGGCCGCTTTGGCGGCGCGCGGCTGGGAGCGCGGGAGCGCTGGTGCCTCAGAGCCCAGGGCTGTGGGTGGGGCAGCGACCTGGCGCGCGGAGGGGTCCTGCTTTACACCGTGGCGCTTCCACACATTCACCGGCCTGGCAACCAGCCCCAGCCCCGCCGCGTGCTTGGGGCCGCCGGCGACTGGCAGAGCGGGGCGGGCAGACGCGCTCCTCCAGACCCCGGCACCGTGGCTCCGCGCGGGGGCACTCGCCCGGCCCTTCTCTACTGCTCATCAGTTTCATTTAGAGGAAGGGAGCGGGAAGGTAAAGCGTGGAAATGCGGGGCAGGAGGCGCCGCACATACACGAGGCGGCAGGACAGCAAAGCAGAGCGGTGGGACTAGCTCTGGCACAGGTATATCTGTGGGGAGCAGGACCTGGCACAGGGGTACTCTGGGCACACCGGAGTTTGGCACAGGGCTGGTCGAGGCCATCAGGAGCCAAGCTCTGGCGAGTCTGGACCAGCGCTGCACCATGGGGGCAAGGGCCAAGCTCTGGAAAGCCACAGACCCCCTGCCAGTTTTCTTCACTAGGAACTTTTAGAACAGTCTCCATCTGCTATTACAAAGTATCACGAAACGTAACCGTGATGGTGGCACTTAGGATTCCTCTTTGTACCCTCTTATAGTCTCCCAAAGAACTATAGGTACCCCAACTTTCCAGCCTGTCATGTCTTGGATGTTATATGTTCTAATTTATGATGTTACTAGCCAGGAGAGTTATTATATATAGTTCAGGTTTTTTTGTTTGTTGGTTTTGGGGGGGTTGTGCCTTTATTAGGGGTCCCGGTATTATAGAGGAATACCTTGCTCACCTTCTCGACTATTCACACGCACTCGCCGATATATATATATATATATATTCACAGTCTGATTCAGATTAACACTTGTCTTTATTTTTATCTTTTATCACTCTATACAGACTTTCTTTACTTTTAGGCAGAAGTTGCCCATTTATATCCTTTTCCTTTTTTTTCTTTAGCCTTATCAATCATATCAACTTTGTAATTCTAGCTATATAATGTTCTTATGTAACTGCTGTCAATTTGGTTGGACTGAACTTAGTATTAGAAAACAAAGTCTCTTTCTCTCTTGTTCGTCTGTTTATCTTTTTTGGGCGGGCTTTTATCTTCAAACCCCACCATATACTTTCTCTTTATTTTGTTGCTATAAGTGTGTACCTTTTATCTTGTGTGTGCCTGAAGTCTTGAATCCTCGTGACAGATGATCAGATGCCATCTCCAAGCTTGACAGAGTGGGTCAAGTCACTCTCCACTTTTCTTTGTTTACTTTCCAGGGCAGTAGCCAGACCCGTCCGGCAGGTTGCAGTTTGTCTCCTCAGGGATCCGCCCCTCTTCCTCGGAGCTCCGCTCTCTCCAGCATCATGAGAAGTCTTGAGGTAAGTCTCTTATCCCCTGGGGATCCTCTTTCTCTCTCTTTTTCTTTTGAAACTCCCGTCTCCTCTCTCTTTTCCACTCTCAGAGCTTCCATCCTATTGTGGTAATGGCTCCGGAAGCGGCATTCTCCGGCTCTTTTCGCCGCGTCGGTGTTAGTCTTTCACAGTAACCCTAAAAAGTAGCTCTAGAATAGAAATCAAAACTCCTTTGTCTCTTGAGTGCCTGCCCTGAACCCCACTGCACACCACGCGAACCCTTAAATTGTGCCCCTTCCACACTGTCAACAGTCACCACTGGGCCAGTAAAAGCTATCACCAAAAAAGATGGCTTTTCATTCTTAAGTTTTTACAGGCAACTCAGTGTGAGGTGAAAGATCACGTTACAGCAAAATGGACAGTTGGGGAAGTGTTAAAACTATTAACTATAATGCATTAATGCACTACATGAACCTCAGGGTTAGGGTACATCAGAATCAAGCAGTCAGAACCTAAGAAATGCTACAATTACATGTGACATTTTTTGCCTCCTTTTGCGTAAGCGCTATTACCTCATCTTTGGTTAAATAGGTTTATTGGGGGTTTGGTTTTTTTAAGGATAAGTTCCTCAGTTCAGTCCCTTAGAATTTGGGCCTGTTCTCCTCTGGACAGTCCCCTGTTGTGAAAACAGACCCAGCTGCCAGGTCCCAAAGACTTTTAAGACCACCAGACCTGCATATAATCCAGCTGATGTTTCTGCTACTGGAGTTCTAGATATTTTCTTTGGTGTGGGACTGCAGTCCAAACATCTTAAATCCCAAAACCTCAAGCCGCCTCACCCTCACACACTACCGCAGAGTTCCACCTAGTTGTGGTTACTCTGCTTTCTAATTTAATCACTTCATGACCAGCATAGCAGGAAAGCTATAATGCTAGATTGACAATTTCTTAACAACAATCATTTTACTCCTTAAAAGTACTAATTATTGATCTTTGTAAAAGCCTGGAGGTGAGTCCTGCTGCTGGGTGGGCCAGACAGTAAGGCACATGGCGCCGCACCGCTTTCAGAGGCAGCAAGGGACAGGCAGAATGCAGCTGCAGCCTGCCTGTGCCCCATGCAAAGATCAAGGGGCCACATGCCCCCCTACCCCTTGACTGCCCAGCACCATGCCTTTATAAGAGCTGCCAGGCTCTTCCTGGGGATGATGTGAGGCGGGTGCAGGGATCCCATGGGCTCTGTCTCCTCTGGCCCAGCAGTGCAGCCAAGGCAGGACCTATTCCAGGTCCCCCCAGGCAGTGCAGAGCCAGGGCCAGTGCAGGGAGGCAGCCAGGGCTGGTGCGGGGCTGAGGGGTGGCAAATTCGCAGGGGCCACCAGCACCGGGCAATGACCCTGGGCACAAGGGTAGGGATGGATACAGCGGGCCCCAGCCCCAATCCCAGGCCCGGCTCTGCTCCGATCCCTGCCTGGTCGCAACCCCATTCCCCGCCCTCCATGGCCCTTTCCCCACAGACTTTCCTGTTGGGGGTGGGGAGTGTGCACATGAGTGCTCAGCCCCCTCAAATTTTTTTTCTCCCTCTGCCTGTGGGTAGCAGTGCAGAGGAGTCTCGGGTCAGCCTGGGCAAGGACTCTGGGTGGCTGCAGCAAGAAGAGCCCGGCACCAGTGAGGGGCCGCTTTTCCTTTGTGCTGAGCAGCAGCTTCTGCTTAGCTGCTGCTGCTGCTCAGAGTGGGCAGGTGAGTTCAGAGCAGGCACAGGGCGGGCTAGGGTCAGATCTGTTCATATGGGTTCCAGTTAGTCCGCTCCAGCCGGGGCGAAACTGCAGCAGGTGTCGGTAAACCTGGGGTCGGAGCTGGGGCTGTGCACTGTTGGTGGTAGTGGGGAGGAGCCACAGGGCGCAAGGGCTCTGGGCTGTTGGGTGGGAGGGGTGGTAACTATTGTTTAACTGTGCAATTAAAATTGAGATTAATTTTGACTTCTTTTTTTTAATCCCGCAATTAATTGTTTTAATTGTTTGTCAGCCCTAATTTATACTTATCTTATGTACTTGATTTTGGTGGAACAGGCTCCTTGAATCTTTCTTGGTCCCTAGAACAGCTCTGGGACTTAAGGTCCGCTAAATAGGCTAGCACCCCACAGAGGTGGATTAGTAGTTGTGAGACAAAGCTGATGGCCCTAGATTGCTCTCTAATGGCTTTTCAGTGATAGTCATTTCATGAGTATGAAGCACATCTGGACATCATAGTTACCATGCCTTAGACAAATTTACCGAAGATACAAGTTGAACACATACTACCAGATGGAGTTCAGTTTTACCCAGACATTCTGTTATAGCACACAGGCACCTCCTGTACTACCTATAATGTTTCCTGCGCTCTTAGCTTCTCATTCACGTGACCTTTTCCAGTTTGCCAAACAGATATTTTTTATTGACTTATACATGGAATTTGCTATTCAGCTGAAGCTGTAATCTTAACAATAGAGAATAAAAGTTATTTTTCTTAAATCCCCTCTCAGGAAAGATTATGACATGTTGAATGTTGTAGGTTGCTCCAAAATACAGTTTACATAGTGTGAAATGGAATCTTAGTAGAAGTTGCAGGGATACTTTCTCCCTCCCCCTGACCCCATGATTTTTGGGCAAAAGGCCACTGCTTTAAAAAGTTTACTAGTTCTAAGAGCTCTCATTATAATTTAAGTCAAAATAATTTAAAAGAGGTTTGGGAGATCACATTTAGCTCCATTACTTTTATTTCCATGGGGCAAAATGTATGTAAGTAAATTAGCATAATCGGTGATGGCAATCCCTTGATTCAAAGATGACCTTTACCATGGCTCACTGATGAGTCTTTAGTTGATTTAAGAGTCCAATCCTCAAGCCACACATCTGTCCACTGAAGTTGCAGGTCTTTCCACAGAGAAGAGTAGGGTTTAGGCTGAGATTCCTTTCCTTTTCCTTCCTTCACTCTTCCTTCTCTGCTTTAAGGGCAAGAAACTTTACTTCGAAATAGGCTGCCAGTTGGTTGAGGTGGTGATACCATTGAAGTCAACTGGCAACCAGCTCCTCCAAGTTCTTTAGGTCAGTGAACATTTTCTTGAGGTATGCCTTCAATGTGTCCGTAGAGCATTTTCTCTGGCCACCTTGAGCTTTCAGGCTTCAACTAAGCTTGGAGTAGAGCACTTGTTTTGGGAGTCAGGAGTCAAATATCCAGTACAATGAAGCTGGTGCTTGAGGATCACCAACTCAATACTGGTAACATTGGCTTCAGCAAGGATGCAGCTGTTCGTGCAGAGATCTTACCATTTGATGTGGAGGATTTTCCGGACATATCATTGCTGATACCTCTCCATGCTCTTGAGATAACAGTAGGTCACCCATGTTCCACATCAGTAAAGGAGTGTGGAGATGATAACTGCATTGCAGACATGGATCTTGGTGTCTTTCTGGAGACTGCAATCAATAAAGACATGCTGCTATCAGTGTAATAGCAGAATTTAGCCTTG